TACTACATATTGTTTACCATCAGCTGTGCATCTAAAAGTGTCGGTCTCCTTCATGTTATGACATGTTAAGCATCTAGGTTTCTTATATTTTCTACCGCCCTTTTCCCTTATTAATGGTGGTACCTTAGCTTTAACCAAATAGCTTCTTAAATTGCGGCCAGTTCGAAATGCCGCAAAAGGTTCTGGGGTGAAAACTTTACGAGCTTCTGCATCTAAATACAATATGTGCAGATTTTTCTTAATCACCAGACCGAAGTGCTTTAGCAAAGGATGAAAAGTTATTGTTAAAGGCACTCAAGTCTTACATCTTTGTTCATTAACTACCTTGCTTTGTTCTATGTTATATTCCTTAACTCGCTTAGTTTCCTTCTCAATGAGCCATGTAGGATATGACCTGTTTTTGAACAAACTACATAGCTCTTCGAGATGCTTCTCAAAATCTTCCTTACGTGAGAGTGGTCTCCACGCAGGGTGAGGGTGTGGTCTCCACGTGGTCTCCACGCAGGGTGAGAGTGTGACGTTATTAAACCGTAATTAAGTACACAGTAAGGATTTGCGAAGAAAATATTTTGTTTGTCAGGTTATACACATTTAGTATGTCAACATTTTAATTCAACACCGTTAGTTTATACTTTAATTTTTATTTCATCGTACCATGTGTCAATATGTCCATAACGAATACACGATTGCCAAATTATTTCCATTGGTTTATAAGGGAACAGGTTTTTTATTTTTGTTTGTGATTACATTTGTCTCTCCAGCCATAACCCGTACGCTTCTACTTCAACTTTAGGACAATGTTGATATGCGTCGGCTGCCAAATGCTTCCCGCAGGTCTCCAGCCATACTAGATTTTTTATCAGTATTTGCGCTTTCGGGCATCCAAAACACTCCAAATTGATGGAGGCAATGTTCAGGTTTGCGAGGAGATCCTTCTCGTATTAAACATATTGTTTACAAAAGGTAATTTATGAGCGCTACGGTGTGCGCTACTCCCACGCGTGATGATGTGCGCACAAGTATTTGTTTACATACATTGTCAGTTGATGACTTTGTCCAAACGCGTTTATGCATACATTACTGGTAATAGGTTTTAATGACTGGACGAAACGGAACATGTTTGCCTCCAAACAAAGAGTAGCTTGCACATAAATGTCGCACATCGAACAGAATTTGCCGAGAAAACACAGCAATGGGGTGCTTACATGGAGTGCCTGCGACCGCAATCTCTACCAAGAAAGGAAAGTTTTGGGTTTGTAACAAAGATGAAATAAATCTAAAGACACTGTTAACAAAATATTTCTTATCCTCAAGTTTCAAAGTTGGATTCCGCACAAACCGCAATCATAACTTCGAAGGGAAAAATAAAGTGTTTCGTGTTTATTCAAACAAACCACCTATGCGACACAAGAAATACGGTTACCATAATTATGAACGTCAAAAAACCAATCGATCTATGATAATGAAAGGTGGATAGAACTCACCGACTGTATGCTGAGACGTGATCCGATGTTTCTGCTAGACTCGTTCATATTTCCCTCAAACATTAATTTTTACTTATTGATGATTGCACATTTCATCAAAATACAACAAACCGCAAGTTTAAGTGATTATAGAACAATAGTTAATCGTATCATAAATTACCATCTATTTAATAGTCGTGAAGTACCTAAACTATATTAATCAAAATTATCTTTTCCGTTGGTCGAGATGATTTGCTAACCTTGCTAAATTTGTACTACCACAGCCAAACACAGGACAGTTCCTACGCGTGCGACCCATATTTAGATGATTGCTCAACAAATTCTTAATAATAATCGTGTGTCAGGTATTTTATTAGGCCCGTTTGGGCCCTATATGGCCTTATATGGCACTATTAGGCCCGATGGCCCGATTTGCGTTGACAAGTCCGGGCTTGTCAACGCAAACTCTTGCCTACGGAAGACAAATTCAAACGATCTAAACAAGAAAACAGTGTAGTGCCCGGACAATATGTTTAAAATATTTGTAAAATTGTTCTACTTAATTATACAGGGTGTATCAAAAAAAATGTCCTAAATGTAAAATTTCCGTTTTTCAGGATATTTTGCAGAATTTGGCAAATTTTTGTGTTCCTAGAGATAGTTAAGACTTATCTGGTATACCTAGGCCAAGTTTAGTTTTTCATTAACAAAATGATGTTACCGGGGGGTGGTTCCTTTCCACTGATATTGAGAGGGCTTGCGCGCGAAAATGTGAAGCTGAAATTGAGATATTATTTAGCTGTCTAAAAGTAGGAAAGCTTTTTAATAAACTGTCAAAGTTTCAGGAAAAATAATGCAAACTGGGAGCAACGCGCGACCCCTAAAAGTGACAAATATTTCATTGCGCGCAGTGGATTAAATGCATGGTTGATTTTAGCGTGACCGATCTCATGCAAGGCTGGGCAAATGAATAAATTAAAGCGAGAAACTGAACAAGAAGACGAAGCGATTTAATAACAAGATTTTTATTCTTGATGTTAATCCTCAACATTTCCACTATTTCGTTTTAAGCAAACTGCGGCTCGTCTGAGCATGGTAAACACTGAACGGCGAAGCACATTTGTCTGTCCTGCCTCCTATTATCCATTTCGTTCGATATTCTTTCTTGCAAATCGCCTACGCTACCACCGGCAAAGCTAGGCGAATGGACAGACAAATGGTTCGCTGTTCAGTGTTTAGTATGCTCAGACAAGCCGCAGTTTGCTTAGAATGAAATGGTGGACATGCTGAGGATTAACATGACAAATAAATCGCTTTGTTTTTGTGTTCAGTTTCTCGCTTTAATTTATTCATTTGCTCAGCCTTGAATGAGATCGGTCACGCTAAAATCAACGATGCATTTAATCCACTGCGCGCAATGAAATATTTGTCACCTTTAGGGGTCGCGCGTTGCTTCCAGTATGCATTATTTTTTCTGAAACTTTGACAGTTTATTAAAAAGCTTTCCTACTTTTAGACAGCTAAATCATATCTCAATTTCAGCTTCACATTTTCGCGCGCAAGCCCTCTCAATATCAGTGGAATGGAACACCCCCCCGGTAACGTAATTTTGTTAATGAAAAACCAAACTTGGCCTAGATATACCAGATAAGTCTTAACTATCTCTAGGAACACAAAAATTTACCAAATTCTGCAAAATATCCTGAAAACGGAAATTTTACATTTGGGACATTTTTTTTGATACACCTTGTATTGTTACAAGCATTAATCCGTGTCTTAATTTATGCTCTAAGCATCGCGTTGTCCATGACACCAATATATATTTCGCTCTAAAAATGTATACATTTTCGCATTCGCCATACCCCCTTTTTCCTCCCTTTGTAGAGTTTGGGCCTGAAACATCTCATTGAGCAGATGAGCATCTGCTCATGAGCATTTATGAGCACTTTTAGGCCCGATGGCCCGATTGCTGACTGGGCGTACTAACCCGCGAATATGGACAAATATTCCATTACACATCTACGGGAGCAAGTAAAGCAGGAAATGCAGGGAGAGAACAAGCCAACATGACAAAGTTGTCAACGTCTTCGCAAGCTCTACCAATACTTACACGAGAGGAAATGATCCCGTACAAGCACAATGCCAAACCTGGCAGAATTACCGCTTGGTTCTATGTACACCGTTGTTGGAATCGGATTTAGTTGGAACACGAGGGCTTTGCAAGCACCCAGCTCGGAACAATGATTGTCTTGATGAAAGTATTAATCTACAGGGACGTTTAGGGAATAAAAAAGTCCCCCGAGGGACATTAGGGAAGCATGTTATGTTCATGAGAACATTCCTCTGCACCAGGGACACTGCATGGAGCAACACTTTACTCGGTTTTTGGAGAAACATTGCAGTACATTTAGTTGAAACACGAGGGCTTTGCAAGCACCCAACTCGGAACGACTGTCCGATTCCAACAATGGTGTGCGTAGAACCATTTGGTAATTCTGCCAGGTTCGCCATGTGCTTGTATAGGGGATCATTTCCTCTCTAATAGAGCCTCGTAACATCGGCCGTAACGAGCAATGTATTTTCCGGTAGTTTACCTATTTCTTTCAATTTATCCAGAAAATGCCCTGCATGTATCTTGAATGTAAGATTTTCTAGCCTCTCATAATAGGCTTGAGATGGTGGTCGAAAAACTCAGAAGCCTTTTCTATAGGAGTCCCACAATTCGATATGACACATATGATATGGCACATTAAGTAACCTTTTATGAATCTTAGTTAGCAAATACAATTTACCTACCGTACACGATTTCTTAAAATTGTACGAAAAATACTTAAGTTAATTCTCAGAGATGTTTCTCTGCTCGTGAAGCCGGTTAAACATATCATTGCTTTCAAAGGTCAAAGACTTCACAATCTTTTCCGAAAAATTATTAATTTGGTTGTAACCTCGTTTCACTAAGTTGTGAACGTGCCTCTGTTAGATAATCTTCTCTATCCCAGACTACGACACACGACCCTTTGTGTGCTGGTTTAATAATTATACTTTTATCCTCTATCAACGTTTTCAACGCCAACCACCCCTCTAAGATTAAATTTGTGTGTTACAAATTTAATCTTCGCAAGAAGCTTATATATATACGGCACGCCATTTTAGTCACGAGACCGCGTGCCATAAAATAAATATATGTATATATAATTTGTCCGCCACAGCATTGAGAATATATGGATGATGACTTCAGGTGTTGGTCACGCAATTTTCTACTGATCCTGCCAGCCAGTTATCGATACAAATCTGAAACTTGTTTGTGGTTGCGATTTAAACTTTCTAAATGACAAGGCACATTTCAAACAACTTATGATTCTTATCAGTATTTTTAGCTATATGTTTCTTACTGTGTTGTAGCTAAATTCGGCAATTTAGATAAGACGATTTAGATGGTTAACTTTTATTGGTAATAATCAAAGTTTGATTATTTAATTAATAATTAAAGATTAATGAATAATCGATTAATTTATTCTTATTTATTTTAAAATATAGATGTCCTTAGCGCTGCTGAGAAAATACCATTGAAGTATTTTGCTCGAGCATTTATCAATAAGCAGCGAATTGTCTTCTCAGGTAAAGTGGAATGAATGATTGTAATAATAAAAAGTATGGAAACTGTTGCATGCAGTATCGAAAAAACCATGAAGACTGTAACTGAGCTATATTATTATAATTTCTGGAGGGAGTGCTCCTCGAATTTCAGTAACTTTGCCGCCATGTTTTTGAAACAAAAAACATGGCGGACTTCGCCTTTTCCGCACTGCGCAAATCTGAGCCCGCTTCGAAAACATTCACCTCCTGGGAATATTTGGGAATTTTTTATTTTGTGCGAAACCTCGTGGTCAGTTTCGATATTTTCGATATATTTTATTAATAACAATACGAAAAACAATTATTTCAAGATGTATACTAGTCGTACACGTTGTTCTTACCAACACCAGGACAAATAAGTATTATAACTTTAAAATATGGAAAAACCCGTCAACTACCTCACCGGTAATTTTCATTTTTCCGAGTTTCATTGATTTATTCATGTCTATTTTACAATCCGCATGAAATCCAATTGATTTTTGAACTTCTAGAGGAAACGTCTGCGAATTTCTTAACTTTTTGTATGCCAGAAATTGTTTGTATCTTTATGGAGATAAATTGAACTTTTCTAAACTCTGATGCATTTATCAACATTTTATGTAAAGAAAATACAATTTCAGCTAAGTGATACTTGATTTATAGCATTGCTCATTTAGCATTCCTGAGTTTTCCATAAGTTTTGATGGACTTATTGGCTTGGAGACTTAATTTTGAGTCTTATATTAGTTATATAATATATACTAAAGTCCAGACGGAAGAAACAAAAATATTTAAAAAAGATTACCTGAATATCTTCTGTTAAAACATTTAAAACATCACAAGTAGATCAAGAAATCACATCTTCGCTTAATTTATAAAACAGGGAAAGCCCGGAAACGAAGAAACAATTTTAACTTATTATTTTAAAAACAAACAATTATTCACCAAAAGTATTTTTTATTAAAAACTAGGAGAGAGATGACTCAATTTAGGTAACCACCCTGGCCATTTAGGACCATGTGGCGTCAGCAAAGCCTAAAATCCGCCATCTTTTTTGCTTCACTTGATGATGGCGAGCACTCCCACCAGGAATTATAATATAGCTCAGTGGTGTCTGCCTATATGTCACGCGGACATCGATATTTTTCTTTCGCCGCAAAAACCTAGTCCAAAATGACTGCTATATATTCCGCTTTATGAAATTTCAAATCTGGGACTTTTCACTGACAACTGGGACCAGTGGCTCAAATTTTATGTCTTATTTTAGCAAGGAAAAATATTTCTGGACTAATTGCTAAAGTTAGTAACTGTGTCTCTGAATATGAACAAAAATAGTTTAAGGTACGCTTACATACGGACTTGATTCATTTTCAGGTATTTAATACAGATTAGTTTTATTAAGTCCCTTATAAACAAAATGTTTTGCGTTTAGTATTGTAGTAGTATTGCTGTTCATTGCTCACACAGCGCAACTGAAATAAACATTCCGCAACACTAAACACCAAACATCTAATAATTAAGGTATTTATAAGCCATTTTTTTGTAGGACATTCCACAGGTGGGGCAATTGCTTGTTTAGTGTTGACGTTTCTTTTGGCGAAATTTAAACAACTGGAAAAGTCGTACCTAGAGTCTCACTTACAGTGCATAACATTTGGCCTAATCCCAATGGCTGACATCATGTTTAGAAAATACGTTGAAGCCATACCAGGCGCACAAAGTTGTTTTTCCCACGTCGTACAGAAAGATGATATTGTACCAAAACTTTTCGGAATGGAAAATATAGATATGATTGAGGTATGCTTTGGAATTTCTTTGTTTTTTTCAACTTTTCCTTGCTTCGATTTTGTTTCATGCATTTTTGTTTCAATGCTCCTTTCCCATGCGGTCTCTGTAGAAATGACTTCCTATATAATTCGTTGATATAAAGGAGTTTACGATCTATGACGCGGTCAGTTCGACGTCGCTAATCAAATATTTTGCTTGAAATAAACTAGAGAAAACTAATTATGCTGTGAGGACTCTGAAATAATCATACAAAAGTTTCAATTATTCTAAGAACCTTCGATGTCCAGCTGATATTGAAGTTTCATATAAGCTATCTGTGACGAATTTTAATCCGTCTGTGTGGGTGTCGGCAAATATATCTTCATAGACAGAATTTCAGTATATATATTTTTATATTTTCCTACAAAGAACTAAGACTAAAACTATTAAAGTATAATTGCTATTAAAATTTCTCAAGCTACGGTATACTTGCTTTCTTCGGCGAATTGTTCCTTTCCTGTGGTTTCTGCCACTAGCTGCGATAATCCCGATGTCAGAGCTCTCCCGAATAACTTCGCTTACACGTTTACAACGTAGTGTCTTGCTCAAGTCACTGAAGACTATAACAGAGCATTTGATCATTGAAGATCTACCATTTGATCATTGAAGATCCATATAATGTAAAGTGCGACGCTTCACGTAATTCGTACGCTTTAGTTTATCGAGTATATATTTCAGCGTGTAGACCACTCCTTAATCGGTTCTACTTCAACATAAGTTCTGCTTCGTTCTGCCTCAGTGTTCACTGATGATCGCCTTTTATTCCCTCGTAGCTTGATTATAAATTCTATACGTATAATCTCGTAGCTTGATTATATATTCTATATGTACAATAATTTATTATTCTACTGGCTCCCTGGGCTACACTATCAAACAGCTATCGCGTTGCCGCTGCTTTCGTGTCATCGAGAGAGAAAGTGAAAATGCTTCATTGACGGAGTCATAAGTAGACCATAATACTGATTGTGCTACACCCATAGTGCCTGGGCTCTAACTTTCATTGTTTTCTATCATTCGTAAACGAGTGATGCATTTGCATTGTCCTGTACAACTATACAATACAGTAAGCACTTCGTGAAATCGACTCAGTCTAATTTAAAATAGAAAACAACCAGGACACCTAGGAGTTCAAACATTAACGAAAAAAGGAAAAAAGAGGTCTCAGAAGTGCCTTGAAACGCAACAATCGCAGCAGGAAAGTGAAACTTGCTACTTTGGCCAAAGAACTTACCGATCCAAGGAAAATCAGACAATCTAAGCAACGAGTGGCACCTCAGAAGCTCTGGCATCAACGATTCCATACACCCAAGCCAACAAGGCAAAAGCGAAATCGTCACAAGTTTGCCTTTGGCGCCATCATCTTTAAAACAGCGTTAAACAATAACAAACATTTCCCATACATCAAAAGTCGATCTAAAGACTAAACACTGGCACATACAACATGCCGAAATACAGGTCCGAACTGTCCTTCCGCTGAGCCCTCCTGTTTCCACACCGCGGTTGGAAAATAACACACTGAGACTGAAGCCGTTTCACCCATGCAGCTGAATCTCGATAAGCACCCATTGAGGGAGAAGCATTCGCAGTCGCGGACGCTCTAGATAAAGCAAGGTTCTTTGTCCTCGGCTGCACCAACCTCATAATCGCCGTAGATCACAAACCCCTCCTTGAACTATTTGCTGATAGTTCAATGGAAGACATTCCTAACCCCAAATTACGCAACCTCAAAGATCATTATCTAATTTACGCATCTTTGGAATATCGAAACCTCCAGCTATTCATATATCTGTGAGATCTTATAAGCTAGAAGTATATGACTGATTTTCTAATAAGCTAGAACTATATGACTGATTTGATGTGCGAAAAGTGGTAACGGAGTTTCAATCAAATAAAGCTCTTGGTTATGATAAGATACGAATGTCTATATTAAAGGATGCTTTACCATGCATTCTTACAGTTCTTACAGACATGATATACCGTACGTTTCACTGTTCAATTTTTCTTTATGCCTGGAAAATATCGGAGACGGTGCCAGTCCTTAAAGATGAAGATCATGAAGTCTTCAACAATAATCGACCAGTGCCATTACTAACTGCGATTTCCAAAGTATGTGAACGAGTAGCATTAAACAAATTAAATTCATATATGATTGGAAAAGACGTTTAACTGAACATCACAGTGGAAATAAACGATTACATTCATATAAGAATCTTAGTGTATTTATAACAGATAAAGTGATTAGAGCAATGGATTCAAAACAACTTATAAATATGGTGTTATCATATCTATGAAAAGCATTTGATTCCTCTGAGACTTTGACCACTGCAAACTTTTAACCAAGCTATAAGCTCTTGGTCTTAGTTTTGAGACTTTGAAATGGTTTAAAAGCTACTTGACTGGAAGGGAACAGAGAGTAAGGATAGGTTCAGTGGTGTCACAACCGGGCTATATCACCCATAGAGTACCACAGGGTTCAGTATTAGGAGCAAGTCTGTTCAACATATAAATGAGCTGCTTGCAGTTCCGGTTTTTAGTGAATTGCATTCGTATTTGGATGACTCAAAATTGTATCTCCCGTTTCCCTTTAGAAGATACTGGCGAAGCAATGCATGACGGTTAAAAATTAATGAAGACTTGGAAAATATAGCAACATGGTGCAGTCATAATAGCTTACTAATAAATCCTGATACGACCAAACTGATTGTTTGACTGATTGTATTAGGTACTCTAAAAATGCAACAAAGACTACCGGAACTTTCATGTAATTCTGCTTGGGAAAAGGACCACTCCAATTGTTTCAGCAAAAGATCTTGGTATACAATTAGATTCAACACTAAGTTTTTCAATAGAATTGTCGCAAACACTCTCCTACGCAGAAGTCAGAACCATCCACTAGTTAATCTTACCCGACAGTTTCATTTTACACACAGGAGACAAACATAAATCAAGAGCGAAGACTCAAGGCGGCTATTACTTGTCTGCATACTGTGCATCAGTAACAGTTAAAACGTTTGAAACGTTGTTTCTTTACTTACTAGAAATTACCCGGTCTTTTTTATTTTACTTCTGCTATAAAGATATACGTATATGAAATTTTTTCTTAGATATACAGTATGTCCCGCGCGCTTCAAATTCATACTTGCATGCATCGTTCAATTTCAGCATTACCGTGGCTAAGTATTTTCAAGGTCTTTCAGAAACATGCAGACGAATAGGAAATATATGCGTAAGGCGCAACAGTAGATAACCCCCCAACCAGCGAAATAAAAAACCAATGCGTGAGCCCCACGCGGGACGTCGGAAACTTTTGGATTTTCACGAAGATATGCGTGGTCTCCACGCGCGAAAAGAATAATGCCCGGGCGCGAGGGATGGGGTAAATAATGAAGCGTGAATACGCATAATAGCGTAAATACGCACGGTCACATGCATTTGTTCGACAACAATTCCCTCAAATTACACAAATACCGGTTTATTCATCAAGCAGTAAGAATTTGCGAAGAATGTATTTTATTTTACCAGAGTTACACATTTGTATGTCGATATTTAGTACCATTAGACTAATGTTCGTTCTAAAGATTCGTTTTCTATGTATGCTTTCTTTTGTGATACATGCAGTTCAGTTCATACGTTAACCTTGATTTATCGTCCTCATATCATATGTCAACATGTCATTGACACACGAAACATTTCCATACATCAATTTTCATATTATCGAGTTACTCAAAGAGTCAAAGTGTACTTGCGTGGAATATGAGGTGGAATATCGGTTACAAATTTTGTGCGATGAGCAGATGAGCACATGCTTGTAACTGCTCACGAGCAGATGCTCATCTGCTTAATGAGATATTTCATACCCAATTTTTGTTGATGAAATGAAAATGTAGCTATGAACTAGCGGCCGGAAAGAAGAACATTTCAGACATAGATTAACGATTTTAACATTTATTTGTCTTGCAATTAGTTACAGCAATAAATAATAATTTCCCCTAAAACGTTTTATTATTTTTCTTTGCTCGTTTGCCATGCATGGTTTCCTTAAGAAAGGTTCGGTAAACCATTGCCATTCGATTAAATTTAAAGTTTAATTATCATCATCGTCACATTCTTCACTGTCTTTATTTTCCTCGTCATCTTCAATCTCGTGGTCACTTGAAAGCCTTTCAATAAGAAACTTTCTCTTATCAACTGCAGCTTCTATTGCTTCTTCAGGGTCAAAATTATCATTTTGAATAAACGCATCTTTTGTGTGCATTATTTTCCTATGTATTGAATCTTTCTTTAGTTTTCTTATCCACAAAAGGTGCTCTAAATAGATATTATATTTCGAACACAGACGTTCGATATAACAATGCTTTATTCCACATCAAAACGCTAACACAGCTGATGGAGGACTAAGTCCAACACTACAAACTCAAAACGAGGTAGCTTCGACATCGTCAAATCAGTTCTTCATCAGCTCGCTTTCACAGCAGACGTGTTTTTTCGTCGTGTCCGAAATAAAGCTCGAAGTAAATATAACTTTTATAAATTTTATTGAGAATTTTGTAAGGTTATAGCATCCGGTGGTGAGGCAGTGCCTCAATCGGTCACTGAGGGATCAGAGAGTCGACCTCAGTCAACGCCGCAAATTCATTTGCGAGAAAAACAACCGGTCGAGAAGCGACCGAGCAAAAATTTGGCCAAAGACCGCTCGGCGGTTGGGGCTCACGAAGGGGAGCGTAAGGCTTCCAAAAAGATAAAAAAGCCTTCAAAGAGATCAAGAAGGTCTAAATTTGATTATTCTTCCTCTTCTTCGAGCTCTAGCGGCTCTTCTTCGTCGGCGAGCGAATCGGAAATTTCAAATGTTTCTTCCACCGCTGCTTGCGAGCTTGAGCGGGAAAAATCTTTTCGGTCATCTCTGACCAGTGAAGACGAATACACCGTGTCAGATCACGTGTTAAAATTTGCCGTTTCGGCCGCCTTTAAAG